CACACACACACACACACACACACACACACACACACACACACACACACAGAGCATGCATTTCAGGAGCCAGGGAGATGGTTCAGCGAATAAAGTGCTTGCAAGAGAGTGCAAACCCAACTCCCAGAACCCATGTAAGAGAGAAGCCAGGTATGACACACGCTTGCCCCAGAGACAGCGAGGCAGTTACAGAAGACTCTCTGAAGATCACTTGCCAGCCAGCCTACAGTCTACTTGGTAAGGCCCAGACCTTTAAGAGACCCTGTTTGTTTTTAAAGGGGGAAGGGGGGGACAGGGTGCCACAGGCACTCCACAAACCACAGTGCAGCACCAACAGCTGTGGTATCAGACCCAGGAGTTTCTAGTAAAAAAAGCACACTTTTTTATGCTCTGTTTCTGCCTTCCCCAGATCCTGACAGCCCTGAAAACAGTGCTGCTGCTGCTGCATGCTTGTTCTTTCATTTAGAATGTCTCCAATTGCTCCTCCTTCATTCTTGTCCCCCAGAAAAAAACTCCTCATTCATATTCAGTCGTAGATGAAGCATCACCACCCCTCTGAAGCTGTCTTCAGCTCGCCCAGGTGCTGCCTCCTTCCCCAGACTTCCACTCTAGCATGACGTCATCGAGGCATAATTGTTTGCAGGTCTGCCTCCTCAAGAGCGAGGGCTGCAGTTCTCCGTCACTTGGGATATACTGCCTCGTGTGTATTGGGATACAGGAGGTGCTGGGTGATTGCTAACCGCTTGGCTGCCTTGTACAGAGCTGCAGTGTCAAGAGAGAGGCACAGAGAGAGATGCCCAATTGCTGAGGAACAGAATAATCTTTGATGTGCAAACGTCCTGCCTGTCTTCTGAAATCAGGCCACACGTCTGCCTCTTTCCTGAGGCTTTCCTTCACACCTTCAGTTCCCATCTGTGCTACACATGGTAGCACCCTGGATGGTACTCCATCACATATCTTCACTACATTCCTAATGCTTGTTTTCCCAACAAGACAGAAAGGTTGTTGAGGATGAGGGTTGTGTTACACTTCCTTGAGCCTAATGTGCTTGTTAGGGAGCTCCCTGAATAGCAACAGGCAAGGGGTAGTGCTCTCGGCATCACCACTGTATGGACAGCTATCCTCATGAGGGCAGCCCCACTCTGACGGCCATGTCAGAAGTATTAAATTGTAGCTTTAAGGTAAACAATGATTTGTGAATGTCTTGAGCCATGCTAGGATTCATAAGCATGGTGTTTCCCCAACATCCATCATTAATATTCTTGAACCCAGCACTGGTATTAACACGAATCCACCAAAAAGTAAACAAACCAGTTACGGGTATGGTGATGGAGACCTGAAATCCAAGCACTGAGGTGGTCCAGATATTCAAGGCCATCCTGAACTACGTAGTGAGACCCCGTCTCAGAGCACAAAGCAAAACCCACAGACAGGAGTAGCTAGGGAATCCTAATTCTACCTTTCACTTATTTTTCCTTGTTGTACATGTGTGCCGTATGCCTTTCACCACCCTTGTCCCTGGTCTGTTTGGAAACTCAGTAATGCTGAGCATTCAATCTCTTAGTCTTAGAACTCTAGCGGGTTATTTTAAGGAAGAGGAGGATGAAGGAAGAGAGGTGGGGAAGAGGAGAGGGAGGGAGGAAGGAGAAATAAGGAAGGTGGGAGGGGGTCGTGTTGCCAGGACACAGAGGGAGCTGGAGGAGGGACATGGGAGTGGTTATGATTGTAACCTTATGGAAATCTTAAAGAAAAACAACTTCACCACTTCTGTTCCACGTACTGCTGGAATGAAGCACAGGCGCTGAAAGGCCTCATGCGATAACTAGATAGCAGAAATAGTTTTATTCCGGCCGCCTGTGCAGATTTGCTTTGAAGAATCTCTCCCCGCAATACCCCACCAGCGGTACCTGGGGGCACACAAACACCTGCCTAAGGTGGGCTGGCAGAGATGCATAGAAAGCTAAGACTCCTGGCAAGAAGGAAGTGATGTCAGTTGTTGAACACTACTTAGGAAGGTTTCCACTGATGACTTTGTCACCGTTGTTTCCTGTTTTTCCCGCAACCTCTCCTCCTCTCTACTCGGTTCTCAGAGTAGAAGGTTTTGTTTACCCAGGTCCCCCGTGTGAAAGCCACCCTAGCATAAAAGCGAGCACACGAGTGACCCGCAACAGCGTATGTGCTCACACGAGTAAGACCCCAGCCACTGGGCGAGTGCTTCCGCCTTGCTTCTTGTATGTCCACCTGCTGACTGGAGTGGTGGGTACGGAAGGATGAGGTAGAAGGGTCTTTGCATGCAGCAATCCAATACAGTATGGGGCACCTACTGCGCCCAGGCACTTCAGGAACTCGGAGGCTGAGGGGAAATGGTCCCAGAGAGGTGAAGAGGTAAACACAGGAAGAGAGCCGTCCTACAAAGACTGTGTCACCTGGAAATCAATTCATAGATTCCAAGTGTGTTCATAAGGGAGAGAACCAGATGAAGTTCGGGATGTCAGGGAGGGCTCTAGAGGTGCCATACAGTACACATTTAGTTAAAATCAATCCCTGTTCGTGAAGAAAAGCTCACATTGCTTTTAAAAACGCACAGCGAAGGGGCCCAACAAGAAGGCTCAGGACAATAGGCTCTTGCTGTCAAACCCGGGTTCAATCTCCAGAACGCAGGAGTGAAAGAAGAGAGCAGACTCCTGCAAATTCCTCTCCCCCTCCCCCCCTGACCTCTACGCATGCAGCACAGCATGGGCACACACGCATCCAAGAGGAGTCCCTGACGATACACTGACCGAATGTGATGTGGCAGCTGCGATCCTGGGGACAGAAAGAACGTTCAATGAAAATATAAATAAATAACCTTCGAACTTTAGTTGATAGCAATAGACCAGTATTGATTGGTTTGTTGTAAGAAATGTACCATCCTAAAATAAGAGGACAGTAGCCAGTTAGCTAGGCATAGGATATTAGGAAACTCACTATACCCTTGGCTCGGTTTTTCTAGAATTCTAAATCTGTCCTAAAAAAAAAAAAAACAAAACAAAAAAAACAAAAAACAAAAAAAAGCATCAATTTTGCAAAAAAGAGAGAGAGAGAGAGAGAGAGAGAACATGTGGTGTAGAATACTCCTGGCAACAGAAAGGGGAAAGAGTTGACTTGACAGTGACCCTCTTTGAAAGAAGGGACTGTTGTTAAGCGCCATGTTAGTAGCTCGATCGTCAGTGCCTGTAGCAATGTTGGGTGCTCGCTTGCTTTCCCCGGGCTGAATTTTTGGCAGGCGGCTGCAGCTTTTGTACACTGATTATCATTTCGAGATGCATTGTCAGTAAAACAGGGTGTAGAATGGATCTCCAGCTCTAATTACTTTTCTCTCCACAGGTGTCTGGAAAGGGTCCAGATGGGAGCTCACACAACCTTCGCTCTGAGGGGATGGAGCGTCAGTATGCATCCTTACCCAGGTAGGATGTAGAGGGGTCTCCCATCCCCAGGTCACCCACAAATGAAGCCTTTGGAGATATCTGTGTGAATTAGAAATCTGGCTTTTGAGATGGGGAATGTTAGAGTCTTGCCTTATGGCCCTGCTGCCATCTTCACAACTGTGCTAATAATTGAAACACTTGTGGGTTATTTTTTAAGGGGAGAAAAATAGTATATCATTGCAATTGAACATGTCAGTAAGAATATTGGCTTCTGAATGGAAATCCTAAGCCATTGCTATAAAAATGGTATTGAACATCCTGCGCCAAGCTTAGAGACAATAACATAGTAAATCCTGCATCCGAGAAGTTTCCCGAGAGAAAGGGCAGGCCAGCCCTAACCTTGGAGCTTCAGGTTGGTATTGAAAAGAGGGAGAGAAACATGAGCCTGAAAGGTGGTTGTAGAATCTGACTGTGTCCTTGAGGCAGTAAAAAAATTTTGCTAAGAGGCACAGACAAGTGGGGGGATAGAAAGAATTTCGTGGGAAAAGTTGGCTTGGCCAAACTGACCTAACTTGATCCCCTTCTGCTGTAAGGAGACACCCCTGAAAAAGGAGATACAACTCACAAAGGTGGGGGCTGTTACCTGAGAGGTGTGGAGTCCAGTCTTGTTAGTCCGCAATCAGGAGCGCATGACAAAGAGGGGACCTTTCCAAGATGACTTACAGCCAGCTTCCCTGGGAGTTGGATAAGTTGAGAGTGTGAGAATTTGTGAGTTCCAAAAGAAACAAAGAAAGGTGAATGCCAGCCACCAGCCTGATGTAACTGAGTATCACCTCAGAAAGGGCAGGTGAGGCTTTATTGCCATCAGAGCTGAGCCACTGAGTGGTATGCGGGCTCTACTCCTGCAGGTGAAGTGACAAAAATGATAGCCTGAATTTCTTATCAACCACAGCTGAGGTGACCATTTACTCTTAGGAAACATATGTATGGACAGATGGCTCAACATTTAAAATGCCTGCTATGCAGGATTGAGGACTGGAGTTCAGATCCCCCAATACCAGGTAAATGGCTCTGGTTCAACTGAGAAAACCTGCCTGAAGGAGTTAAGATGGAGTTGAAGGAAGAAAGAATACTGATGTCAGCTTTAGCCTTCCACACCCAAATACACAGATGTGCACGTACCCAGGCCAGTACACACACACACACACACACACACACACACACCTCATACACATGTACACCACACAAACATATGAAAAAAAAATGTGTCAATTTTCAAACACTGATAAAGCTTTATCTTTAGCAAGGCACCGATTTTTAACATTTTCCCTGGTGTGATACAGGAAGTCCAGGCTTTAAAAGCTTTGATGCAGCTGTATCTTATATATCTCCTGTTTCCTTTATATGTTATCATGTAAGGGTTTTTTTCTCCTTTTTTTTTTTCATTCCTCATCTATGATTAGTTTCCTGCCCCTATTTTTTTCCCCTGGCTTAGCATTTTCTTTTCATTTTGAAAAATGGAGTCATTTCCAAAATTCATTTGAAATATAAGGTTTCCGGCTTTCAGTGTTGAAGTATATGGAAATTGTGGTTAAGGCAAAGAAGGAGTAGATTCTAAGGGGAAATGAGAGGATGGGGGGGACAAGGAAAAAATCATTTTAATGTCTTCCTGGTTGGCTTGCATCCTGAGTTTAAGGACTATCGTTTGTATGTGTGTGTGTTCAAATCAACACCACAGAAATAATGTTTAAACTTCTATAAATCTCACTCATTTATTAATTCCCCTGTCCTAGTTGTCACCTGCCGAGTAGAGAGGGCCCTGAGGATATGGAATAGTAGACATCATCCCAGTCTGTCCTTGGGATCCTGTTTGGTTAAGGGGACAAGCAGGAGGCCTTTTCTGCTCATGATGAAATACTCACAGTAGTGACTATTAAGACAAAGGCCTCTAGGTTTCCAATTCCTGTTTATTTTCCCTAATTAGCCCTGAAATGCCCAATCATGGCTGACTCCAAACAAGTGTGTTTAGGAATAAACACTGCAGAAGGAGTTTTGTGGAAAAAGACAGTGTGTGGGTGCCATTTGCGGCTCAGGGGCTATCAACACAATGTATGAATTGGCAAAAACCCTGACAGCTCTGGGATTTCAGTGTGGCCGAAAGGAAGGCATCTTCCACTGAAAATAATGCTGGCAACAAGCCCCTTCCCACACACAATGGCAGGAATGATTAGCTGCACGTGCAGTCAGACCCCAATGGCAGACTCACGTAGCCATGACAGAGCTCAGATAGATGCGTGAATGTTCCTGGACACCAGGATTTTAGCGAGGAACGAGCACACACACGGGGGCCTGCGTTTGCCTGTGAGAAGCAGAGGTGCTGAGACGCCTGCCCTGCTGGCCCCCGAGGTGTGTAGATCCAGTTCTGCTCAGAGCTGGTGAAAGTGACTTGGTCTCCAACCCTGCCTAGGGGGTCTCCTGTCCTCTTAACTGAATCACACCAGCTCACCGCTCCCTGCCAGGGGTGAGTGAAGAAAAGCTCCTCTTTATCACAAGGGCAGGGAGAGTTTAAATATTCATGGAGTTAAATTTTTAATTAAAGCTAGGACTAGGTCTGTCTATAGAAAGTCACTGGCCATCCTTACCCAGCATTTAGCCTGCCACTGGCTGACTTGGCTCCTAGGTCGTTCATTGAGATGTCAGAAGAGTTTCTAGAGCGAAATCAGTAGCCTTGACTTATGTGTCAAATTTGGAAGCACGAATAGAAAATGCATCCTCAACTAGGGGCTCATTCCTAAGCTTTTGGGGAACTCCATCATCTTTAAAGCAAGCCCAAGCAGGCGCCTGTCAAGCTAAATGACACCACACGAAAATAAAGCAGAGCCCTGGCTAGTGCAGGCACAGACGATTCCTAGCACTGGGTAGTTAGGAGCTCGCCTGAGGCTAGGGGCTAAGCAATGTTAAGTGTTATTGTTAAGCAATGTTAAATCTTCTGCCTCCAAAGGAAAATGACTTTATTTCTTTCCTCCTGAGGCTGCCGCTTCTGGTTGGCTTGTAATACAACCTCATTAGCAAACCTCAGGCCTTGTCTGGGGCCAGTCTCACCAGCCTCTGCAGCCCCGGATTTTCTTTGGTAGTAAACAATGAAATCAGCATCCCCTTAGTCTTGTCTGACACAAATTATTACTCACCTACACACTACAGGTAAGTGTGGCTGGCTGTTTTCTGGGCTGTTATAACGAGAGAATGCCAAGATGCATATTGCCACTAAGGGCTTCTTTTCCATTGTGGCCTACCAGCCCTTTCCAATTCTCCCAGGCTCCCTTCTTATTTCACAAGCCCTTCAGCTATGGGCTCTCTGTTCACCCATCTCCCAAACCTCTATCATTCACCTGACCCAATCCCGGCCCCCTGGGATCCCATTATCCTATTCTCTACAGATGGCTCAGTGCATCAGCACAGGATGTTGTTCTCCCAGGTTTATAATCAAGCTCGAGGTCCTAAGGAATGAGCGAGACACACTGCATCTCATCTGTGGTCCCGTGCGCACGGAAGGTGGCTGAAGAAACTCATAAAACCGCTTTTATCAGTTCCATTCCAAACTTCACTTTAGGCAGCACCAGCTGGGCCCCTGCTCCTGGCCAGCATTCCTCTTAATCACATGGTCAGCTCCCTGGACTCTCCCAGAGTGGATGTTCAGGCCCTGTTCTACCGAGTTGACTAAACATTCCCAAGCCGGGTCTCTAGAGATGACCTCATTTCCCTTCCGTTAGGATCCCAAGGCCTCTGGCACTAGCCCTCAAGTTCTGCTCCTGCATCTCAGCCTGTTGTCTTCTCTAACACACACTTCCCAAAGGGAACGGGTAGGGGCCAAGCTTGGAGCCGGGCCACACGTATAGCCCCGGCTTCATCCCTTACCACCTGTGTGGCCTTGGCTAGTGATCCCACTGCTCCAGGATCTGCTTCTTCATCTACAAATTGGGGGTGACAGCAGGGTCTGCATCCAGTGATGTCAGGGTAAGGATCAAATGTATGACAGTAATGCAATCAGTGAATCAGCCTGACATACTTGAGGGAGTCTTTTTTTTTTTCAGTTCGTATTTATTTGATCCATGGGGATGACATTTTCCTCTCTATAATGAAACAAGCTCATTCTCACTGGTGTCTCTGGAACCTGAGAACACGGATTTTTCTTTTCTGGGCCGCATCTCTCTAAGCAGAACCCTCTCCGGGCTTTCTTCCCCTTGTCTGTGTTGGTAAATGCAGAGGCCCACCTGCACAGCTTGCTGTATGTCCCTTGCATCCTGTGGGAAATGCTAGCTGAACACCTGCATGTAGATATGCGGAGGGTCCTAATGCAGAAGGCATGGGCTGACCCTGGGCGAAGTCCAGGGGTCCAGATGATGGAAAGCAAGATAGCACCGCAAACTACTAGGCTCTAGGCAGTAATCTGTGCTAACAAACAGTCTAGGGGACCGTGGTTCTCTTAGCTAGGGGATCCATAGAACAGATGCACAGTGTTGACTTGGACCTAAACTAAAGCACAGGGCCACTGTCCAGCAAGACAGGTCTAGGATCCTACCCAGGGCAGAACACTAAACATGGAGCTCTAGTTGCTATAGCAGACAGTATGAAAGGCGGCACCCTTTTCCCTCCTGAGAGGAGCCCCAAATATATTGCCTAGATCTGGGCACTGCTGGCTCAGGGCAGGGATGACAAACATGCCGCTCTAGGGCATATAGCTAGGGAGGACAGGAATACCTCCATGAACTTGACTTTTGTACCCAACCTATAAATAAATATTGGCTCTTTTTCTACAGGACACGCGCCCCTCCCCACCCCCCACTACAGGCTTCTGACCTTACCCTAGTGCTGCCACCTTGTACCACTTACAGCTGCTTCCCTGGTGTAAATTCTCCCTTCTATCCTGAAGGATTCGATTCTCATCATTGTAATGAAGAAGCCAGTGGAATAGGAAACCTCCACACCTGTCTTTTGCTGAGACCCCAGTCACAATCACCTGCTTCTCACACCCCTGTTTT